TTTTTTCTTGGGGCCAAGGAAAACCTGCTCAAAGTTTTATTATAGAAATCTACTATAATTATTTTATTCTTTTTAAAAAATATTCTTAAAATTAATTTTTTCACATAAGATTGCATTGTCATCAGTTTCTAGGCTATCCTGAAAGTTTCAGCTTGATAGCTAGTCGGGAAGTGAGTGAAATTTGAGTTTCAAAATTTGATCCGGACAAACAGACAGACAAGAAAGTGAGTTCATAAAAACGTGCTAAAATCAATAAAAATCAATAAAAATATAAGTTTTTTTTCTCAAAATGAATTGAAGGACTGATTATGCAAATGAACTCTTGCCTCCAAGTTCAGCGTATCCTGTCAATTCCTTTAGAAAGCTATTTCTGGCAAAATGTATCAAGATCATTTTTAGGCAAAAATGATGGTTTCCCTAATTAACTAGAAACCTCACTCAATCAAATGCTTTGCTTCTCCGTATATACTGTATCGGACTTAAACTTATAAAGACGTTCAATTGCACTCGAGTGAAAATACGGTAAATATTTTGGTTGATTCATAGGGGAAAGCAGAGAGCTGACGAGTTCTGGAAACGTCATCTTCGACGAGAAGACAGTGCAGTGGCAGACTTTTTCGTGGGCCAACTGCAGTCCACCATCAAGTGCACCAAATGCAACAGTACTTCTTCAGCCTACGACCCCTTCTGGATATTGCAACTGGCCATTCCTAAAAACCCCTCAGTGGAAAGAAGAAACCTGGTAGAATGCCTAGACTTTTTCACTACCGCGGAACACCTTGACGGCTCTGAGAAAGTTGCAAGTATCTCCTTTTAAACAGTTCCGTTATCCACAAACCTTTTGGGTACTTTCCTGTCATCTCAGTACCTACTTTCCTGCTATCTCTGTACCTTCCCTCTGACCAATTTATCCTGACCTAACCTAACCTTACCTAACTGGGTAAGGTTATGCTAGTTAAAATATATTTGTAACTAACATAACCTGACCTAACCTAACTTTACCTAACTGCCTCCCAAAATCAGTTTCAGCAGAATGCGGAAAAATAAAATCACAGTTTCTGGTAGGTTGTTATGATTATGAACTTGTCCCAAAAATTTGTCTGGATGGTAGTGCGGTCTAGGAATGAGGTACTGAGATAACAGGAAAGTACCACTTTTTGAAGGAGAGGATACTGTAGGCCCAAAAATCAGGCAAGGGATGAAAATCGAGTATAATAGTGCAAAAATCTGTAAAATCTATAGTTTATATGAAGATCTATGGCAGAGATTGAAGTTCCAAATATAAAGGCTAAATTTTTCTCAGGCTCTTTAGAAAAGTAAACCCTGATTTAGTGCCATTGTTCATTCTGGCACATTTTGTGGCACTAAGCAAGGGTTGCACTAAATCAAAAGTATTGAATGAGAGAGAGCTCCAGTTCAGGATTTCCATTATAGGAAAATTAAGTTTGTTTTATATTAAGTGCCATCATGAAGGAATCACCAATATTTCCACAAAAGCTTTCACAATTTTATATTTTCAATGAAGAGGGTATCATACAGAATTTTTATGCCAGTCAGGTTTTTTTTATGAGAGAACAAGCAAAAATAAATGATTTGATCTAGATTTGATTTGATCCAGGTGTTTCTCAATCAAGATTTGGTATGTATTTGAGTTATTTTCATATGAAGTGCCAGGAATCACCAATATTTCTGCAAAAGCTTCCAACATTTTTTTATTTTCAATGAAGAGGGTATCAAGCAACAATGAATATTTTTGAATGATTTAAATATATTTTTTACGTTTATCCAGAGTTTTATGTCAACTTGGAGATGTGATTCTGAGTTAAAAGTTTTATAATCCAATCACATCCCTGGAAAAATGCAATTATTACTTCAATCTCTGCCATTTTTTTTATGAAGATGAGGAAGATTTATTGTGGCACTTAGTTTGCACTAAATTGGGGGTTTTCTTAATAAAATAATGGAGGAAGATTTGTACCAGAGAAATTTGTGGCAATTTGCAAGGGTGGCCCTTAATTCAGGGTAGATTGTAGTCCTAAATTTTAAAAATGGCTCAAAAGAAACCGAATGACACACTTCTGGAATTTGGTAATCTACAAGAGTTTTGTTCACATATGGAGTATTTCATTTGGATTTTCTTGTGGAGCCGTTACAAAACATTTGCGTATCACTTTCAAGCATATAAGTGTGGTTCTACATGAAATCTTCTGGTCATTTTTTTAATTTATAGAGTAAAGAGTGAAATATGGAAACATAAAACAAGGTTTCTTACGCTAAAATGCCAGAACATCTGAATTTGAAAAGTTCAAATACCATATTCAGGTTTAATTATGCTACAACATTCTAGATTAAAAGTGAATTTTAATTTCACGGTTTATTCTGAAGAAACATCAAAATGTGATTCAGGAATTCTCAGAAATTATGAAGGAAACAATCAATCTTCAATTTCTTTTAATTTCGTCTCTTGGACCTTATCTACGTAGATGAATAACTTTACCGTATTGGACTGCAATATCATTTTATTTGAAGAATGAGTCTTTAAAAAGTGACTATAAGTACAATACTTGGATTATTGGCGTGAAAAACTATTTCAAATTCTAATATCAAAATACAAAAACCGGGAAATTTTTTCACGCGGACGGAAACAGGAATTCATCAGCCGATTTGAAACTTGAAATCGATCGTCTGAACATTTCAAAAGCGTTTATTCATGGACATCATGGTTTATGCTATCAATACTCTTCTTATCAATTTTTCATCCTATTCTTTCAAATTTTTCGATATAGTTCTGTGCAAAATGCAAGGATAGAATGAAGTCTACGAAGCAGATCGAAATCCAGAGATTTCCTTTGATTCTGGTGGTGCAATTGAAGCGTTTCGACATGATATACGGGTACGGGGAAAAGGACAACACCTTTGTCGAATTTCCCATGGAATTGGTGGACATGAAAAAGTACAGGTATGTTCTACGATTTTCTCGCTGGTATTTCAATGAACTCGTTTGAAAGTATGCGAACGATTTCTTTTCATTGAGACTTCCTTTTCTGTAATGATCCGATCGAGAATAATAAGTCGTGCTCATTATTGAGAAAGCGTTCGATTTTAAATTACTTCTTCTTCTTCTTTCCACCGTATAAAATGTATCGATTTGATTTAAAAAAAAAAACTGTTTCTTCTATCTACCGCATAACATTTATCGCCGAAGGACTGGCGAAGGTTCACGATTTAGCGACATACATTTTTATTGCACGTCACCGCCAAATCATTTAACTTCCCATTTTCCATCATTGATACACAATCGCTCCAAAATCTTCGTGCTAAATCAAAAAAATTAGCACTAAGATTGCAAGAATTCCTTTTATTTTTGATCGTTATGAAATAAAGACTTCATGAAAATTCTCAGAAATAATTTTGAATCTGGAGTATAATTTTTTTTTTGTTGCAGAGAATAGGATTGACGCCGCATCAATTTCAAAATTGTACTGTTCAGTGCTCTGTATTTCATTTCACTTCTTTTGAAAGGGAAGTATTGGTGTTAAATTGTTTTTGCGTTTATCTTTTTTTTTGCCATTGAGATGTGCAGATCAGCCACAGCATTGGTGCCAAAGAAGTACGTGCTGTACGGAGTTGTGAATCATTTTGGATCTCTGGACTGGGGCCATTACACAGCCATTGTCAAGCATCCGAAACAAAATGCCTGGTTTGAATTTGACGATTCTCGGTAAGTTCTGTATTGCAATGTGTTGCCGAATCAATTTATTCAACTCCAGCAAGTTTGAAGGAAAATGGCGAGAAAATGTTGAGAGAAAGAAATTGTTTGAATTGAGAAAAATGCCAATGAGAGAAAAATTCCGCAACAATAACTTGAGTCAAATCCTGCCCCCCATTGAAGCCTGTATTCCTTTTGAAAAATGTCACGAAGAGACTAAATATTTTGAAAGAAAATACGAAAAATGCCTCGGTAGTAAAAATTCTCCGATACAGTAGCTCTTTTCCGCATTTTTGGCGTCGATAGCCTCCAAAAATGTATTCAATAATTTATTAAAATTATTTTCTTTTGTGATTGAAAAATCCATATTTGTCTCTTTCCTCATCCTTGGCGTCGATTCTTCCGTGAAGTAATTTTTCTTGCGGCATTTTCTCCCATGATTTACGTATACAGTAATTTTCTTCGGGTTTGTTTCCGCTTGTTGACTATATTCCTGGTGCAATTTTCGTTAGCAGAGATTCTTTCTTTGATTTGTTTAAATGGAAAATATTTTCAAATAAAGTTCATATTTTGTCGTTTTGGTGGTTTCAGGGTGATGAGTGTTGTCGACGCCGGAAAAGTCGTCCGATCCGCGGCGTATCTCCTGTTTTACGAAAGTGAATCCGTTCGGTAAGTCGACGAAGAAATTGCTTCCGAATTTTTGAAAATCATTTTTGTAAGACGCAAACCGATGGAGTCGTAGGAATTTTTAACGCGAGTAACTTTATAAAGAAAACCTCATTAATCTGATATGCCCAGGGTTAAATTTTAAGATACTATAATAACAAATCGTCTAAAAACTCTAAATCATCATTTCGTTTTAGGATGAGAAGAAAGACGCGAGAAACCTCTGGTATTCTATAAGATAAAAATCGGTTACATAATATTACAAATTTTCGAGATACGTGTGCCGTTTTAAACTTCTACGCTGGTTTTTCGAATAATGAGGGCCTCATTCCAGCAAAAGAAAGAAACGCGAAGGAGAAAATTCCGGAATGGAAAATAATGATGTCTGAATGCATATTTTTGAGGTCTTTCAAAAGTGCGGTATTTAAATTTTTATTTCAAATGATGATCTAATCAAACCCATCATGAATAGTGAAAACAGTTTTTTCTAAACATGATTTGGCTCGCTATTCATGAGTCATCGTAAGTGGAAGTGGAAGGAATTCATGTTTCTTTTAAACTTGTGTAAGAAATTCATGTTGTTTTAACTCTTGTAAGAAATTCATGTTTTAACTCTTGTAAGAAATTCATGTTTTAACTCTTGTAAGAAATTTATGTTTTAACTCTTGTAAGAAATTCATGTTTTAACTTCTGGAAGAAATTCATGTTGCTTTAACTTCTATGAGAAATTCATGACTTAACTTCTGTAGGAAATTCATGTTTTAACTTCTTCAAGACATTTTTTTTTTACTTCTTCAAGACATTCATGTTTTAACTTCTTCAAGAAATTCATGTTGCTTCAACTCCTGTAAGAAATTCATGTTGTTTTAACTTCTGTAAGAAATTCATGTTGTTTTAACTTCTGTAAGAAATTCATGTTGTTTTACCTCTGTTTCCTTCTTGAGTGACGTAATTCTCTCCAATTTAATCTCTGTGGCTTTTTCTACAAAATTTAAATATTTCTCTATTTTTCGGTGGACGTCAGATCTAGCACCCAAGATTATTTTGGTTCCCTCTGTAATGAAATGCAGAAATCATTTCATTTTCACATTCAGTTGAAATGTTTGCTCTAGGTTGCGTTGGGTTTCTTTGATTTGATACTTATGAATAATTACACCCAAGTAATTTGGTCTGCAACGCAGAAGGAATTAAAAATAAAATTTCGAATACAATATGTCGAGTGTCTAGAAAAAAAATCAATGTTAAAAAATGTATCCCAGCATAGGAAAATTATTTTTCCTCAAATTACTTTTCGGTGGATTTTGGATCTTTCAAAGATTGTTTCGGTTCTATCCGCATTGGTTGCAGAAATAATTTTACTTTCGCGTTATTAAGTTGAAATGTTCGCTCTATATAAATTGCGTCGGGTTGCCTCTGCTTCGATTTGTTAATCGATAAAGTTTAAACTCGTCATTCGGGCTTCACCGCAGAGGGAATTAAAAATTAAATTTTCGAATCCGTCGACTGTATGCGGAAAAAAAGGAACGTGAAAAAAACTTCGGAAGATTAATTTTCCTCAAAATTCTGCACACATGACACACAGCCCGAAAGACGCGTTGCCCTCGTCGGGAATGTCCCAGCAGACCGTGTCAACAGCAAGTAGCAGCAGCAAAACAACGAAACAGACCCCGTTGCCGCCGCAGGCGGGCAAAACGACCTCGAATAAGAAAACGACAATAGGGGTAGAAATGGACCCCAAAGCTCAGAATAAACGGGACTTGAAAAACAGACGAGTGCACGACCCCCTGTTGCAAGTGAACTAGGGGAGCAGGGCCCCAAAGCCTCTTGGGTAGAACCAGTGCCTGTGGGCTGCCCCCCACAGCGGCCCTGTCCTCCTAAAGCCCTCATTGGCCCCCACCACCCTAAGGTATTCGGGGTTTCAGAACCAGCGGAGGGACTCGGCGGAAACGGTTCAAATCACCCCCACCATCTTTTATCACGCTCCCAGCAAGAGACGAAACTACGGTTCACCCAAAGGTGAATTTATTTTCTTTTTAGAAAATGTAAAAAAAAAGAGAGAGACACTATCACAGTTGAACCTCTTCCAGACGAATTCCAAGGGACCAGGAAAAAATTTGACCTATTGGTTTTTCTAGTGAAGGAAGTTGAAATTTTGCCATAAAAAGAAGAATTTCAGCAAGTTAAAATTGGCCACGTTTTTTCTTGTGGCACAGAACTGCTTCGTAAAGGAGTTGACGGGATGCTGAACTTGGACGTCAGAGTAAATTTTCAGAATTAATCCGTCACTTATTGTCAAAATCCTCAAGTTTAATTTTTATTATACTGTATATACCTCTCCTGTGTTCCAAAAATAATGCCCAAAGGCCTCCATAATACTTCAGTTGTAGTGGCTTGAGGATGAAAATCTTCTAAAAATTGTCTCTTGTTTTGAACTAGGTTTTGTGCACTGTTTCTGTGTGAATTCAGAGTTTCAGACAGGGACTGAAAAAAATTGATTCAGAGGGAGGTTCAAGTTATTGAGGTTCAACTGCATATTTTGTTCATTTCTAAATTTTTTTCTTACGAATGAGGTTTAAATATTTACATGATAAATTAAGGATAATTACTCGCAAATCACGTTACACTTCTGATTATCCCAGGATAAATGGGTGTAGTCCAAAAGCCCCCTGGAAAGCCCCCCCCCCCTGCCAAAAGCCCCCCTTGGTGCAAAAATTGGGGATTACAGGTCTTCTTGTAACTCTTGATGGTGAGATGCACCTTTCAAGGGCAGGCCCAGCACAAGGCAAAGTACCAATATGTTTGTAAGTTGAGTATATAAAGGGATTCCTCGCCTGCAGTGGTCATCAGTGATTCTTTGAATGTCAAAGCATCATCACTTACTGACTTCTGCAAAATCTACAGTTCACCTTGTTGATCCAATGGCTGGTGCACTTGAGATCATCAAAAATCAGAAGGGTGGTGAAAAGGCATACTACAATGGCTAATTATTCATGATTAGCACAAGAAAATGACATTGAGAGCATCAGTGACACTGAGGAAGAGGCTGCAGAAGGCATTTTTGAAGATGATTACTTAACAGTCATTTTTGAGGACTGATGAAATACCAAACACTGTTATGAAACTTGCATTCCAAAAAAAAGTGAGGGGGGCTTTTGACCTAGGGGGGCTTTTGGCAGGGGGGCTTTTGACCTAGGGGGGCTTTCCGGGGGGCGTTTGACCTAGGGGGGGCTTTTGGTTGGGTACCATTTTTCTTCTGATCCCGTGAATTTCATTGTAGAGAGAGTCCACCTGTATGAGGACATTTTGGAGCTATCCTAGTTGGGGGGACCCAAGCGCAAAACTACGTCTATATAGATGTCGCTAAGAATGGCACACTGAACGTTCTTGGTGGACACACTCCAATTGTTCAACAACCCTGTTCTGTTGATCCTGTGGTACGCTATCGTCAGCCTTACCATCAGTCCGTTTTATTCTCGATTCAAATTGATTACTGACTCCAAGTGAATTTCAATGTGAATTTACACTTGCACTGTTTCATTGGTTCTGCTGAGACTGAATTTGGGGGGCAGTTAGGTAAAGTTAGGTTAGGTCAGGTTTTGTTAGTTAAAATATGTATTAATGTTAATTAAAATAATTTGTAATGAACATATAAAATCCATAGTTGAAATATTTTCAACTAACATATCCTGACCTAACCTAACTTTACCTAACTGCCCCCCAAAGTCAGTTTTTGCAGAAAACTCGAGTCAGATTGTGTTCCCTAAAATATTTTCAATGAACACTTTTTAAAATGTATGGCTGAAATATTTTTTCTTACATAACCTGACCTAACCTAACTTTACCTAACTGCCTCCCAAATTCAGTCTCAGCAGAATCAGAAATAACAGTGCCAGTGTCAATTCACATATTAATTCAAATTGCGCAGTTGGATTTGTACCTGCATAGAGAATAAAATTGGACTGGTGGTAAGGCTGACGATAGCGTACCTCACGGGCAGCACAGCAGAGCTGTTGGAGAATTGGAGTGTACAAGGGCTAGGCGCGCGTGAAAGGGAGTACGCACTGTTTATTGTAGATGGAGCTAGTAGTCTGGGCCCCCCCCAACTAGGATAGCTCCGACATTTTGCACATGCTGCTTACGAAATTTCGCGTGCTGAAATTATATCTCAAGTGTAAAATATAAACTTAAATTTCCCCAAAATATGTTGATTTCGATCCAACTGTTGTTCCTCGCTTTGCAGATTGTTCATCTGATATGGAGACCTCATCTTCAGCACCTGAGAACAGTCCAATGGACAACGAAGAGGAAGGAAACTGTTCATCCCGTCAGCCCTCTTCTAGTACTTAGAAAAAAAGGAATGTTTTTCTTTTAATTTCTGTCCGTTGACAATAATCACGAATCTTAAGATTCCAAGTATGATAAAGCTGTCTCGCGGTTTTCCCCCACAAAACGCCTTTATTTTATCTGCACCTGCAAAATATTGCCATCGTTGCTTTTGATTGTCGAAATTTGAAAACGCTGAACACTGTATTAATGAGATCTTCATTTCTTAAGTTATTTACGCTTTCCGATGTAGTTTTTTTTTCAAATTGCTCAACACATACGGAGTAGCCTTGAATTATCAGTTATCATGAGGTGTTATATTACAGTAATTTTGAACATTTTCTTGAATATTTTTATATTTTCTTTCCTCTGTCAAGAAAATAATAATTAAAACGCCTCAGAAAATTCGACTTATGGAGGTTCGAGAGGAAAATACTTCAAGTTAGTGAGGTTTTTAAAGCATTGTTTCTGAAGGAATTCAGAGGGGGACTTGAAAACGAGTCAACTTAGGAAAGTACCATATTTGACTTGGAAAGGTTTATGACTTATCAAGGTTCAAGTTTATTAGGCTGAACTCAACTCGTAGAACGGTTCACATGTTTTCCTACCACGAACATCAATATTATCTGAATGAACGGTTATTGCGAAGGTTTCCAATTTACTTGGTCAAGTGAATGTAAGGGATCTGTAACTGGACCGAGCATGAACTTGTTGAGACTTATGAAGGGGCGACACCTATCATCATCAAACACATCGCCAAATAATTTGAACGTCCACAAAGATGCGGTAGATGTCCATGTCACGGAGGCGTAACTAACTTACTCTCCTTCTTTGTGTAGGTGTACTGGCAAAAATTTCGCAAGGTTTTAATCGCTAAATTTATCCCAGTACCGTACCCAGCACTCTTTACTTTCCACGTGAGAAGCCTTCAAGATGGCGCGGTGCACCGTTAAGCAATTTGCTGATGTGGATAAGATGCAAAATAAGGACCCCAAGTGTCCGGCTACTTGTGGTCCTCGGATAGGAACCTCTGATACACAAGTGAGCATTTATCGGTGGTTTTTGAAATTTTTACAATTTTTTGCCTTTTTGAATCAGCGCATATCAGCAGTAGAGAAGCTTGGAGGATGTCCGATATTCGTTTTTGTTTTGATATTGTGTCTCCAAATGTGCTCATTTTCACATATAAAAAATTGTATGCCGTCGTGTCTCTCAAATCATCATCCGTTCTCGTGAATATGATATTCAGTACTGTAATTAAAAATTAATTAGTTCGTCATTTTTCTAGAGTTATTAAAAATTCATCGAAGTGAGATGAATTCAATATACGGCATTTCTAAATATCTTGAGTTTTGAACATTCAAAATTAAAGGTTTTAATACATTTCAATACTAATCGTAATTTTGAAATGAATAGATGATTTTCCTGTCTGGGTTCTATAATCAATCATCATCCTTCAAATTTCATCCTGACGTAATTCACTGCCGATTGCAGACTAATTTGAATCGATTTTTGGAATTGTGAAGGACATAAATTACATTTTCTAGACATTTCGGCAAAGATCTAAAATGAAGAACATCTGTCGAAAAAAGAATCTCTGCGGGCTCAAGGTAAAATGAGAAGGATATTGAGCATCATCTAAGGATCTTTTGTTCCTCCCTTTTTAAACCTACAAAAGGGTTCGATACCCCTTTGTGGGTTTTTAAAGAGTACAGTAAATGTCTGACACCCCAAGGTTGCCTGTCAATCACGCGAGATTGCGGGGACCCTTGGGGCCAGCAAGAATCGTGCACAAATATTAATTTTGGCAGCCTTTATTAAACCTAGACTAGCCTGAAAAGTGCGAGAATACCGCTTTGTCACACTCGATTTAAGATCTTCACAGTCGGGTGCAAATCAAAGCATTTTTATTTTTATTTTTTTTACAGTAACTGAGGAAATCAATTGTTCATCACGAAGAATTGACGCGATCAAATTATCCTTAATTTTTTAAGAAGAAAAATTTTAAATTTATTAAAAAAAAAAATAGAAGAAATTTACGCCGATAGATTACAGTACTTGAAAATATTCTATGAAGCGGGACTTTTCTAGTTCATAGAACTTACATGAATGTGCATGAGTAATGAAAGTGATGATTTTATAACGAAATCGGTCGTACTTCCATCTTAAACAAATGTCAAGAATCGAAGGCTTGAAGAAGAAAACTTTTGTCAAAGAAAACACATCATCCAGGAATACGTTAGTTCAATTTTTAATGGACTTACTTTACTATATTGTACTTGTTTTGGATTTGATCCCTTGATGAAAGTGACATTTTTATTCTTTCACTCGTTATTTTTTGACAGACCAGAATAACCCTTTTGTTGGCAAATGTAGGTCACACTTTACATCACATTCAACTTCTTTTGAATCGAATGCGAAGAAAAGAAAATTTTCAGCAAAAAACTCAACCATCAGTAAAATCACAAAAGTTCAATTCTGTGGTTTACTTACTTAATTAATATTGTGCTATCCCTAAGAAAAATGTAATGCACACCCATTTTCTTTTCTAAAAAAAATTACAATGCTCCAAAAATAAGAGATACCAAAATCCAAATTTTAGCATGAATCCCAAACTAAATTCATTTAATTTTCAATTATTTTTAAACCACAGTTCCACCTATTACACGCACCCCCCTTTTCCTCTCAATTTTGAGAAAATGGTACGTGTGGTACTTGAGAGTAAGTATACTGTGCTTTAAATATGGCAGATAATTCAATATTGTTTTGAAATAGGTTCATCATTGATTGTTTCTTAGTGACCTAGACTCCTAACATTTTTAAAAGTTGTAATTTCCTCTCAATTTTGAGAATAAAAAAATACCTGTGGTAATCAAGTTAGTATGGTAGACAGTACTTGAAATATGGCAGACGCTACATTGTCTTTTTGAAATAGGTTCCTCATAAATTATTTCTCAATGATCTATACTCCTAAAATTTTTAAAAAGTTGTATCCCCGTTCACCCCTTTTTCCCCTCCCAATTTTGAGAGAAAAAATGTATTTGTGGTACTTGAGTAAGTATATAGTACTTACCCTAATGTGGCAGATGTTTCATTATTCTGTTGTACAGTATCATGGGTTCAATCGACGAATGTTTCTTAATTAATTTCCCAGGTCCAAGCCGTGATTGATTCCTTCGCCGGCAAAACAGCTGGTGGCTCTCCAGTGCCAGTGTTTGCCGAGGGCGGCGAATTGCAGCTGCCTCGGGGCCTAGTGCCGACATGGACCGAATCTGGCGGCTCGTATCGTCCCCTCGACGTGCCGCCGCCGAATTACAGGTCATGCGTGACGACGGCGCCGCCGGACGTGCGCCAAATGACCGCCGTCATCCCGAAAACGGGCTTCATGATCATCTGCGACGACGTGGAGCTGACTGGGAATAAGGCGATTGAGGCGCCGGAAGTGCCCACGACTGTCGAGCTCGACGCCCGTTGGGACCAGCGAGACGGGTTCATCCTTCGCATTTACCGCAAGGTAAAACTGTACATTACAGTGCTGAGCATTTCACCGGGCTAGGTTTTCTTCCGGAAGTGCCCACGACTGTCGAGCTCGACGCCCGTTGGGACCAGCGAGACGGGTTCATCCTTCGCATTTACCGCAAGGTAAAACTGTACATTACAGTGCTGAGCATTTCACCGGGCTAGGTTTTCTAATTTCTGTTGTAATTTTTGTTAAATTTTTTTGAGAGGAATATAAATATTGTACAGTCAAACCCCGATAAGACGCCACCATTTGTCCAGAGCAATTTTGGCAGTTGAAAGGGGTTGGCGGTTTATCAAATATTTAATTTTAATTATTTGATCAAAATAATACTTGATTATCCTCCAAAAGTCGTAGAGATGCAGGTTATGCATATAAACTTCAATAATTTTCAATATAGTATTGCTGTGATCAATAGATTACTCATTCAGAAAATAAATTTTGCTGCATCAATTTATTCAAATTTTAAGATTAGGTTAATATATTTTTCAAAATTATAAAAAGATCATTATTATTTTTTCATTCTTACAAATACAAGATCCTTAGTAGAAATTATAATTCTACCCCAATGTTGGCATTGTAACAAAGACAAAACTAATTGGAAGCAGCACTTTTGTTTCATCAATAATGCTGGTGGATGGCGGTTGGCGTCTTATTGAGGGTTTTATATAGAATTTAACATAGAGGAGATTTGTTTCATTGGAAATTTTGGCAGTTGCCAAGGGAAGTGCTTTATCAGGGGGTGTCTTAATGGGGTTTGACTGTACATATACAACGGTTGGTTCAGAAGTTTTGAGACTTTTTGAAATTCAACAATAAAAAAAATTGCGTAGCTCCATCATTTGGCAACACTTGAGTGCTGAACAAAATAATCTCTGCCAATTTCAATGCATTCTTTTCATGCAATAAGTCCAGCGACCAAACAGATCTAACGCTTGATTTTTTTGATAGTTGCATGTATTGCATGAAAAAAATGCAGTGAAATTGGTGGAGACTAAGAGTATGTTGAACAGCACTAAATGATGGGGCTGTGTGAGTGCACTCTTTTTGAATTCTCGAAACTCTGTTGGATCTATTTCAAAAAGTCTCAAAACTAGTAAACGCATGGAGAAAATGCCACTGAAACAAAATGCCAACAGGAGAAATGGTACTGGAATAGTCCAAAACATATACTGTACTCTTAAACCTTTCAGACTTCAATCAATCCTCAAAATAACCGCATGCATTCAATAAATTAAAGATAGCACTGTGTGGAAATCTATATGTACACATTATACGTGGTGAACGGTATATTTTTGATGTTGCTGATACAATTTAACCTCACTGACTCAATCCTCCATAATTAAGAAAATTTTTTTGCAACTACCTTTCTGAATTCCTCTGGAAACACTGCATTAAAAACCCCCTGCTAACTCAAAGGCTTTTTCTATCAAACCTCAACTCAAATTTTCAAAAGTGTTTTGGCTATTAATTTTTTGACACAGGAGAGAGAAGAACAATATAAAGTAACAATGTGCTTTGAAAGGAAATGAAAGAATAATTGGGCAATTGAACGCTTGCCCCCAAGTTCAGAATTGTGTCAACTCATTAAAGAAGCAATTTGTGGCCCAGAATATTACCATTTACAATTTCCTGCAGTAATTTATATCTTTCCAACCACAAAAATTCTTGTTTCACTATCTCAGAACCTCTCTTACTCAATTTTTTGGTGGTTTCTTAAATTTTGACTTACACATATAAAAATTCGACTGTTGAAAAAATATAGGTAACATTTTATATCACCATCAAAGACATGAATGGTGACAACAGGGGGTAAAGAATACTCGACAGTTGATCTCAATATGCTACAGTACTTTGACCTGATCAGCAGATGCCAAAAATATTTCCATCGCTGCTTTTCACTGTGCACCAGTACTTGCTTTCCATTCAATCTTTTAAAAAATCTGAGCTGATAGAACTATTCATTTGTGAACCAAAATAAAATTATCAAAGCATATTGATCAAAGGGACATCAAGTAATCTGAATATTCGATCATGAATCCTTTTACCGTTGTCACACACTCCCACATTATTGTAAAGGTTATGGGAGATTGATTCTACTTTCCTCAACTTACTCATAGAATTCAACGAAGTCCGTTTTTCTTCTTCATTTGTACATTTTCAATTGTCGTAAAATTTATCGTGCGAAGGGGAATTCAGTAATCTGAATATTTGATTGCCAGAACTTATCTCGGTCAAAATTGCCTTCTTGCTATTTGCAAATAAGCTGTAGTAGTTCGGATAATGAGGGTTCAATTGGCCGACTTTATGTCAAAACTTTGAATGATTATAGAGCTTTACTTTACTCAAATTAACAGAAGAATTCTTCTCAAACAAACCCGCTACCCTTTTCTCTCGTTATTTTTTGTGAATAATAAAAAAGATAACCAGCAATCTGTGTACAGGATTTGATATTAATATACGAAGTACAATTGGTCTGAAATTAGCGTGTGTATTATATAGTAATTTTTGTAACTTCGCCTTATCGAAGTGCATCAAATGAGGATTCAATTCAGACGAATTTGCATTTCTCACGTTTCCCATTTTCTCCCAGGCAGACGCGGCTCCGGGGTCTTCGCAGGCCAATGCGAACACGTCGGATCAATGGACCGGCAACATTCTGCGACGCGAAATCGGCACTCGGAAATTGGCATACCTCAAGCACCTAGAGTCGCAGAAGCGAGTGCGAACTCGTCGCATCGAAGAATTTCTCTATCTCAAGGAGGACGTGACGGATGATGGAGGATCAGACGAAGGCTCTTCAGAGACGGAAGAGTTCAAGCAGGAGAATGAAGTGGGCGACGTGTCGCTGCCTGAGGCGTTTTTGGCGCTCCGCATCCCGATTTTGCAGAAACCCGCGCCGGTTGTGCCGATCCACTTTGTGCTGGAACATCTGCGGAACCGCGACCGATCAGGCATGCAAATAGAACTCGTTCCTATCTCCGATTGCTCTGAAAACATCCTCTTCTAGACCAATGATGCCTCAGCGTTCTTACCCACCAGTTGATGTAACAGTGACACCTATGTGACAGATTATAAAATAAGAATGAAAACCTTTTCTCCTTTTCCACGGAGTAGCTCTGAACCTCCAACGAACCGCTGGGCATTTTCTGTTCGGCGATCGTCTTTGAGTCCTTATTATTGATTTAAAGATTGAAATATAGTATTAAGTAATAATAAAAAAAAACCGAAAGAGGAGTATTGCATGCCTTTACGACATATCTGGTGACAATTTTTAATATTCACGATGTCTAATCTGAAAAAAATGTATATATTTTCAAGGGTGGAAATCGAGTGAAGTGGATTCTCTTGTCCAAAGAAGACTATCAAATGTGGCCAAGACACGAAGCACATTGATGGCCCTAATGACCAAGATCCGAAGTGTGAATGAGGATGTTAAATTGACACCTTTGGCCTTTCAACGCTTTGCTACTGCCGCCAACATAATTGCGAAGCTTCAGGTCTGTTCCAAATAATTCGCCAATTAGCGCGACATCATGTGTCGCAATTTCGGAGTTTCCTACTGTTATTCGGAGGAATACATATGAACGTCCCTCATTTGTTTTTCCGCATACTGTAAATGTCTATTTCACGATATTTTCTGTTGTGATTTGAAAGAGAAAAATTGATGGCACAAAACCGAGAATGTAGAAGTTTTCTTTGCTTTGAAATTTAGATTATCATTAATTAAAAACTGGTAAAGTATTTACGAGTCGTTTGATTCAAAATCTAAAAAAGTATTATCGTATTACAATTGTAAAGAAATAAATTTTCACAAATTTGACTGGATTTGATCTCAGTCGGCAGAAAAGAGTCGCCCATCAAATCTCATATAAGTTAAATTCTAAAGAAGTTCTTCTCTGATTTCTTCCGGAAATTTTTTGGCTCATTGGATCCTCAAACGATATTAATTCCAGTCGATCTCTTTCTAAACCCTGAATGTGCTTCAGTCTTTTAATCTAAAATTTAGGTTTTATTGATCATTACATACAAACCATTAGAATGTTGCTGCAATCAAAGTATTATTTTGAGCATTATTTTGAGATCAGAAAGATTCACACTTTAACCTCAATGACACGAACCTCTCTTAATTGAATGTCTCCCTCTGTCCAATTTTTTAAAGTCCATGCCTAAATTAGATTGAAAAAAATTCCTTAAAAATCTCTATAACTCCAAAGCTTTCCACCTGAACCTCTTCGAGTAGAATTTTCCGGAGCCATTTTGGCGAATATTTGTTGAAACATGACAGAGAAAAGCAATAAAATTTATTGTCATGATATGAAGCAACTTGATGCATTTTGAGAGGAAGTGAAAGATTACTTGGGCAAATAAACCCTTGCCTTCAACTTCAGCATCTGGTCAACTCATTCCGGAAGCAATTTGAGGCCTAGAATATCACAGATAACAATATTGCTTAATTTGTCTCTTCCCCCGTCAACAAAAATGCTCTTTTTTCAAACTGGAAACCACTCGAAATTGTTCGCTGTTCCTCTTCGATCGGAAGCAATTTGAGGCCTAGAATATCACAGATAACAATATTGCTTAATTTGTCTCTTCCCCCGTCAACAAAAATGCTCTTTTTTCAAACTGGAAACCACTCGAAATTGTTTGCTGTTCCTCTTCGAAGAGGTTCAACTGATGTAGATGATTTTTGCAGGCTCATTAGTGTTTCAAAGTTTAAAAGCAGGTGTCGCTCTTGTTCCGCATTTTCGCAGGTGTTGTCCAACTACATTCTGGCACAGGGAGAAATTCTCAAAGAGCGAATCAACTGGGAGGCTCGAGTCGGTGCCATGTTCCCTCCAGGGTTGCCAATAGTTGATGCCTGTGTAGCTCAAAAGTTCAAAGACCTGACGGATTACGACTACGACATGGAGATCGAACTTGAGCCCAGAGTCATCTGCAATTTCTAGCTGAAAATCTTCATAATTCATTGTTGCAAGTCTATCTTATCTTCCTTTTATTCCTTTGTGGTCCTTTTGTTTTACTCCTTTTTGTATCCCTGAAAACAACTCGTCGCTGTCGAAAGTTATAAATTGTTCATTGTCGACGAGTTTCCTTCTTTTGTTCTGCAATGAAAATAAAAAAGAATTGTCGTAGGCGACGTCATAAATCGAAAGCTTGAATTTGAGGTACAAAGCAGATACATTTTATTTATTTTGGCATCGCGTTTAAAACATGCCTTTAATAAAACACACTTTTCAAGCTTTTTTTCTACGAAATGGAATTCAGATAGAAACTGAATTTCACGCGATCGCAAAATGGAGAATCAGCACAAGAATCGTCGGCGAGAACAGAGCTCATAACAAAAAATAATCCCCATCAGATCAATCTTGAAATGCATCATATTCCGAGCAGCATTCTTTGTTTCACCTGGAATAAAAAGGGTATTCGATTAGGCGATCCCCCATATAATCGAAAAGATTAAAATTCAACTGCGCTTCAAAAATGACTTAACTTGTCCTGCCTTGAAGAATTCGACAGAATCAAATTGGAACATGGCTGAAATTATGATTTGAACAATATCTCTGTGTCATTGGCAATTGTTTCAAATCTATTAAGCCGTCTAAAAGCGGAAGAAAATCTAGTTTTAACTGGGGAACTTACTGAAGGTAAACGAATCTAAATCGGATGAAATCAAACTTGATTCAGCAATATTCCGGAGGCAGGTACTGTACTTATTGTCATTGTCAGTTTAGATTACTGCAAGTTTATTTTCTTGAACTTTGAGGCTTTTTAAATAAAAAGTTACGAAGAAGTCGGCGGGATCAGTACAGCATACAAAAGACTAATTCATATCAAATATTTTGTGAACTAATTCCCTCTAAGCTTTCCATTGCTTTCATCAAGCAATTCTGTTCGTGAAAATTTTCGAAAATTTTCTTATTTTGAATTTAGAGGAGATAACATATACTGTATATGTCCCAATAATAGAGGCCCATGTCACCAATTCAAAAGACTGCGGCTGTGCTATAGGGTATAGGCTATATAACATAACCTCTTCAGGTTGAAATTAAAGAGATCAGCATAATAAAAACATTTGAGTTAGTGGGAAAATGAGCATTTTTGTTGGGGACAAGAAACAAGATTACAGCAAATTGTAATTGATGATATTCTATAGGTTTTAGAATGCTTCTTGAATGAGTTGATAGGACACTGATAGCTTGAAGGCTAAGTTTTTTTTGTGCCCCACTAGTCTCACTTCCTTTCAAGACACATCAAGTTAAATTTTTTTATTACTTTTCTCTTTCCCGCGCTAAGAAAATTATCACCAAAAGGCCTCCAGAAAATCCCAGTCATGCAGGCTTGGGATGAAAAGCCTTTCAATTAGGGAGATTTTTAATGAATTTTTTTGATGAAACTTCACACAGGGATTTAAAAAATCGACAATGGGAGACATTCGACTTGAGAAGTTTCGAGTTACGTTATGTAAGTTCAGCTTTATTTCACGGAATCTCCGCTGAAACCCCAACATATTATACCATAGACTGGCCTTGACTATATATTAGACTTTTCTTCTTAGAGCATATTCAGGGTACTTTTCAGCATCAACTCACAGCTCCGTGGCTTTCATAAAAAGGTCGGCGGCCAGCAGTTCAACCGCGGAAGGGTCGGCCGTAGGGTCGGGCGAACCCGCCGTAGTAGGGTCGGTAAGCAGGGCCGTAGTAGGGTCGTGCAGCATAGGGTCGGGCGTACCCGGGCCTGTTATTCCGAGCAGCATTCTTTGTTTCACCTGGAATAAAAAGGGTATTCGATTAGGCGATCCCCCATATAATCGAAAAGATTAAAATTCAACTGCGCTTCAAAAATGACTTAACTTGTCCTGCCTTGAAAACACCAAAGTATCAAATTAGATCATGGCTGAAAAAATGATGATTTGAGGACCATCTCTAATTGGAATTGTCATACATCTATTAAGCCGTCCAAAAGCGGAAGAAAATCTTTCAACTGGGGAACTTACTGGAGATATACGAATTTTAATTTGGATGAAATCAAACTTAATTCAGTAATATTCCGGAGGCAGGTACTGTACTATTGCCATTGTCAGTTTAGATTACTGCAAGTGTGTTTTCTTGAACTTTGAGGCTTTTTAAATAAAAAGATACGAAGAAGTCGGTGGGATCAGTACAGCATACAAAAAAGACTAATTCATTTCAAATATTTTGTGAACTAATTCACTCTAAGCTTTCCATTGCTTTCATAAAGCAATTCTGTTCGTGAAAATTTCCGAAAATTTTCTTATTTTGAATTTAGAGGATATAAACATATACTGTATATGTCCTAAGAATAGAGGCCCATGTCACCAATTCAAAAGACTGCGGCTATGCTATAGGGTAAAGGCTATATAACATAACCTCTTTAGGTTGAATTTAAAGGGATCAGCATAATAAAGACATTTGAGTTAGTGGGAAAATGAGCAATTTTGTAGGGGACAAGAAACAAGATCACAGGAAATTGTAATTGATGATATTCTATAAGTTTTAGAATGCTTCTTATATGAGTTGATAGGACACTGATAGCTTGAAGGCTAAGTTTTTTTTGTACCCCACTAGTCTCACTTCCTTTCAAAACACATCAAGTTAAATTTTTTTATTACTTTTCTCTTTCCTGCGCTAAGAAAATAATCACCAAAAGGCCTCCAGAAAATCCCAGTCATGCAGGCTTGAGATGAAAAGCCTTTCAATTAGGGAGATTTTTAAAGAATTTTTCTGATGAAACTTCACACATGTATTAAAACAATCGACAATGGGAGACATTCGACTTGAGAAGTTTCGAGTTACGTTATGTAAGTTCAGCTTTATTTCGCGGAATCTCCGCTGAAACCCCGAAATATTAAACCAGAGACTGGCCTTGATATAGATATTAGACTTTTCTTCTTAGAGCATATTCAGGGTACTTTTCAGCATCAACTCACAGCTCCGTGGCTTTCATAAAAAGAGGTCGGCGGCCAGCAGTTCAACCGCGGAAGGGTCGGCCGTAGGGTCGGGCGAACCCGCCGTAGTAGGGTCGGTAAGCAGGGCCGTAGTAGGGTCGTGCAGCATAGGGTCGGGCGTACCCGGGCCTGTAGTAACCCGGTCTTCCGCCGAAACCCAACCCGACTCCGATCCCGAACTGTGGGTTGGCCTTCGCCTCCTCCACCGACGACGAAAAGATCACTGCGTTGAAGAGAGTCATATATTTATTAAATTGAAGGGGAAAACATATTGAATGAATAAAAGCAGATGCTTCTGGCCAATTCCCAACCTCCCCCAACCTTCTCTGATTTTTCCAATATGCTTTCTACCATATATATGGACATTTTAAAACTAATTAAATCTGAAATTTTACGAAAAAATCCCTCGATTGCGCAGCGTTAATGATTGGTTATTTTAATTTCATGGTTTATTTCGTGATTCAGGATTCCAACTTCAAATGTGTGCTGGTATGTGACTGATTCTTGACACCGCACTAGTCGAGATGCTAATTTGGAAAAAAAAAGTTTAATTCCCATAAAAATAGCCCTAGACTCTCATTTTCTGCAATACAGTAATTTTTCATAAGCGGACGTCGAAGATAATTGCAAAGCGATGTTTTATTCAATTTATTGCACATCCTCATGACAATGATCATTCAGGTTGTAGTATAATTTGAAAACTGACTGGAAAACATCTCAATTTTTCCGTTTTCAACCTCAAAAGAAGGCCAAGAACCTTTTTTTGAGATATAAAAAAAATCTAGATATAGTATAAATATTAGTCTTGGAAACTCACCGAAAGCGATGGTGCAAATTGCAAGGAAGAGCCCTGTGACACGCATGGTTCCTTCTTTCTTTTCTTTTTCAAAAACTAGTTTTCAAGAAATAGCGGGTCGATTTCTCAGGTCTGATTCAACACGATCTTCGGATCGAACGCGTGAATATGACACCAAAGAGCCGGTTTCACTGCTGTTGAAAATAGAAAAGTTCAGGATTAAGAAATGTTACGCTTTCAAACCGTGCATTCCTCAATTGGATCACTTCAATGTCTTCGCCAATTAGTTAAATCGACCCCGAAAGGTCAGATAAAATTATATCAAGATTTTTATTGATATTTTAGAACTGTGCAAAATATGCCGAAGGAAACTTTAAAGAAATTCAAGAACTCCGAAAGGCTCAATCGAATTTAGGATCCAATATTTCTGAAGTTCAGAGGCTTCCTTTAATTTCTGAAAACTCGAAGAACGTTTTTCATGAATATTTTCCACAAGTCAAGTTAGTTTCCTAAATGCTGCACTGCCACAAATATTTCAGCAAAAATGATGCCGAAAAATACTAACGATGAGCTTTTGCGAAATGTACGAAAGTCGTAACAAGTGTTGACATAATATCGTGTATTTTTTTTGGCGAGAACTGAAATAGTTGTAAAAATTTCCCAAGTCAGCGCGAAATACTTTGCCATAATCGTTATTTCACTCTGTTCTTTCTTTTTGGAAATGGTTCCAACTCGAAGTTCCGAGTTATGTTTATATATTGCCAAAGAAATCAAACCGAATCGGAAACTCATCCAAGACTTTGTGATGCCTTGCTCACTCAGCGCTGGAGGTTTTTATACAAGCCTCTCGATCAGGGAGACGCGATTAATTTCCTGGGCATTCCCCCCACCCCACTTTAATTATGACCCTCATCCAGTTTACGTGTTCATTTACTGCATACAAGGAAGAATCCCATTCTCGACAGTTGCCAGCACGTCCTTGGGTCGCATCGTCGTCGACGAAAACAACACCCACTGTGAGGATCAAGTCTGTTATTTCTTGGAACTCTGTTCGGAAAGAACATATACTCACAGACCAGAAAGGAACTCGACATGAGACTTTTTTGAACGAGTGGAAAATGACTTCCGTGTTACTGGATGTATGACACTGTAGGATAATCCAGAAGGACTTCCGCATGTATATGTGTCTTGATTGAGGAAGGATTGCTCAGGGAATGTTGACGCATGGACACAGAGCGGTTCTGGTTTTATGGCCGATTTGTTCGTCGGGAACCGTGACAATAACATGGATTCTCCGGTAGGATTTCGCAGAAATCCTTGAGTTATGTACGAGAATATACTGTGCTGTGTAGTTCCTAATTATTTGTTTATTAACGTCGTCAAACTGTTCCATTGGATGGTTTGTTGGGT